AGTTGGTAAAAGTCTTCTATTTCCACTTCCTTGGCTCTGATTTTTGGTGCATATATCTGAATGATAGTTGTGTTGTATTCACTGGCTTTCCTTACAGAAATTTTGGATTTCTGGCAATAGGATTTTTATACCATAATGTTCACTCTTTTAAAGTGCAGAGATTTTTTCCCAATATATTCAGAAAGCCATCTTCACAATTTAATTTTAGAACATATCCATTACTCGAAAGGGAACCTATTACCAATTAGCACTCCTCATTCACCTCCTTGCCTGTTCCTGAAAACCAGTAATCCACTTTGTCTGTGGATTTGCCTATTCTTGTCATTTCAGATAAATGGAATCATACAATTTTTGGTCCTCTGTAACAGACTTGTTTCACTGAGCATGTCATCTGCATTGTAGAAGAGCAGTATTTCCTTTCTACAGTTGAACCCTGTTCTGTTGTGTGGATATATCATACTTTATCAGCTGATGAACATTGTGTTGTTTCTTTTTTGGTTATAATGAATATTTGAATGCACGTTTCTATGTTTTAAGTTTTCTTGGGTATACATGGAGTGGATTTGCTGGGTTATACCTTTTGAGAAACTACCAAAGCTACAGCACTATTTTTAGAAGTTACAGCATTATTTTATGTTCTTATATTTGTTGTTGTTGATTGCCATTGAGTCGAGCACAACTCATAGCGACCCCATAAGCAAAAAAAGGCCTGAAGCCTTTCCACAACCATCGCCATTTATCAAAGTTCATATTCCAGAGGCATGCTATTTAGGAAGTGAATGCCACTCCTGCTTCCAACTCATAATATATGAGGGTGGGTATTATTTTTCATATTCCCCAAGGGATTCTAGTATGCAGCTTCAATAGTCATTCTTCTGTGTCTCTCAAGCAGTCATCCTGGTTAGAGTAAAGGGAGAAGACTAGAGGATAGGCTGAATGACTAACCTTTAGAACACTTTTACTTATTCCTCTTCGGAGGAAAATGCCCAAGTCTTCCACTGAGCTTGAGACCAAGGTGGGCAGTCATATTGGCACTGGAAAAATGCCTTCAGTAAACATCAAAGTTTAAATCCTGTCTAGCTTATTCTGCTCTCTCTTTCTGGCCTTTCTTCTTATGTTCTACTAATAATTGTAAATGTTTACTGACCACTTACTACCCAGTGGATGCTTTGCCCAAGTCCTTTAATCCATTTAATCATCATAAAACTCTTAAGGAGGTAAATGTCTTTAAACTCCACCTCACAAACAAGAAAACGAATGTTAAAATTAAATGTCAACTAAGAATCATATATCTAAGTCTGGTAATGCTAGCATTTCAGCCTGGACTGATTTTTGTCTAAAGCCTGTTTTAACATGCTATATTACCTAGAGGGAGCTCTTGTAGCTTAGTGGTAAGGAACTGAGCTGCCAACACAAATGTACACAGTTTGAATCCACCAGCTGCTCCGTGGGAGAAAGATGGGCAGTCTGCTCCCATGTGATTTACTGCCTCTAAAAACGACTGGAGGGCCAGCTATGGGTTGGTTCCTACTTGACGGTACACAAAACAATAACAACATATTACCTATAATGTAGAGTTGGAGATTTTTCTTAAGGAAAAAGGCACTCATATTATTGAATGAATTAACAGCTTTGTGACAAAATCATTTTTTATCATTTGCTTAAAGTTAGATGTTTAAAAGGTATGTTTAAACATTAAATAACAGGGTTTTAGGGACATTTTGTTGTTTCCTTTTTCAAAACTAGAAGACACAGATGTGTGCAGTAGCCCATCATTGATGCTCTCTTTTTTTCTCTTAATGATTTACTTTTCCTAAGACAACTAGGTAAATTTTGCTTAAGGAGTGGGACCTTCCTTATAACTGTATGATTTCCCATTTCCTAGTCCTGATAGTAAAAACATGAGATAGTACCTGAATGTGTACTGTTTAAGGGCCAAGAACTTCTTTGTAGTGATTGCATGGGCAGATACAGAACAATATGTGGGACATGTTGAAGGGGCCCCCTCTTTGGGCTTCTTCATACCATCCTTAACCTGCCTAAAGTTCCTTCCAGTGTTGAGTCCTAAGGAAATCATTTTTCACATGCCTGTTCCTTGTGATCTTTTTTTCCTCTTCTTCCCCATGCCGTTCTTTCTATAACCAGGAGTTTCAGCGAATATGATCCTCATCATGCCTTGGTCTCTAGAGATTAGCTCAATTGAATAGGAAAGGAACAATGACTAAGAGAAAGTTCCTTTCTGTTGGCTATGGCCCATAGTATACTACTATACATAGTATACTACAGGCAGGTGAGCAAGTGGAAGGACCAAGTCAGCTTGGAGGTGGCAAGTCAGCTCCTCTGCCCTAGAAAAGTTTATGGCATTGCTGCTATTGTCATGTACCATTAAGCTGACTTCAATTTAGCAATCTTATGAACAACAGATTAGGATTTTGCCCTCTTATGCACCATTCTGATGATCTCTGACAAAGTTAAGCCCATTGTTGCAGTCACTGTATCAGTCTATTTTGTTGATGGTCTTCCTCTCTTTCTCTGACCCTCCACCTTTCCCAGCATGCTGTGTTTTTCCAGGGACTAGTCCCTCTTAACTACATGCCCCTAGTATATGAAACAAAGTTTCATCATCCTTGCCTTTAAGGAGTACTGTGGTTGTACTTCCTCTAAACAGGCTTGTTTGCTCTTTTGGCAGTCCAAGTGCTATTCAGTATTCTTCTCCAACACCAGTTCAAAGACAAGGATTCTTATTCGGTCTTCCTTATTCATTGTCCAACTTTCAGATGTATAGTAAGCAGTTGAAAATACCGTCACTTGGATCAGGCACATCTTAGTCTTTGAACTGACATTGTTGCTCTTTAGCACTTCAGAGAGATCTTTGAGAGCAGATTTTCTAAATGCAACACGTCTTGATTTCTTGACTATTGGTGTTGATTGTGGATCCATGTAAAATGAAATTATTGAAAACTTTAATCTTTTCTTGAAACATCTATCGTGATGTTGCCTGTTGGCCCAGTGGTGAGAATTTTTGTTTTCTTAATGTTGAGATGTGACATATATAAAAGGCTGGAGAATGTTTGTTCCTCTACAATAAGTTTTTCACATTTTCTTCACTTTCTGCAAGCAAGGTGTGTCATTCATATACATTGTGTTTCACATATTCCTTCATTCACATTATGTTTCATACGATCATTACCATACATTGTGTTTTATAAAATTAATCACCATTGATCTGTGCCCACCATTACCTTGTCTTTTCAGGTCCCTACTGAATCTACTAATTCCTTCACACTCCCTCCTTCTTCCCACCAAACTCTCCAACCTTGTGATTCCCCCTGCCCCGCCCCGGCCCCCCCCCCCCCCCCCCCCCCCCCCCCCGCCCGCAGCCTCCCTGCTCCCACTCCTCCCACCCTTTGACTTCCATACACATCTTACTAGTTTCCCTCTGTTTTTACAATAATGATCTTATGCAGTGTTTGTCATTATGAGACTTAGTTGGCTCAGTGTAGTATTCTCTAGTCTCTCCCATGTTATGTTGTATTTCCGTTGTTATGTGCCATCGAGTCGCTTGCGACTCATAGCGACCCTATTAGTTAAGTCAAAAGTCTTTGCACATGTCAATAAAACACAGTAAACATCTTTCTGGTATTCTCTGCTTTCAGAATCCATCTGACCTTAGCAGTGATATTCTTAATTCCACTTCCTCTTCTGAATCTAGCTTGATTCAGAAAGGAATTAAGCACTATCTGCAAAGTATGCTTTCTAAGAAATAGAGGAAGGGAGTAGAAGTTTCTTCTTAGTCCACATACAGGTTTTGGAAAGAAAATAGGGTACTACCATTGTTATAATACCCTGAGTCTGAAATACATATGGTGTTTTACCAGAAGGAAGTGCACTGAGGTCAAGGTGGAAAGTTAATATAAATTATGAATATCTGACATGGTTACCCTCATAAACATTTATTGACCTGAAACAATGGTACTTGGTAACTCAGGTGTCACGCTCTAACTCTCAGGTGTCACATACTGAGATATCATCCCATGTGTTTGCTCAAGTATCACCTTCAGGTGTCACCTTCACAGATCATCCTGAGATGCACTCAGGCTTGGCCCCTTGTTTTCTGCCTGCACTACTGACAGCTTTATTTTCCACACAGGATCAGGTTTTCTCCAGAAAATGTCACCTTCCAGGCATGTTCTATAGCCTGGATTTACCAATGCAGGCTTCAAAACTTCTCTGCTTTTATAGAGGACTCACTAATGCACCATATTTCCCAGGTACAGAGTCAAGATTTTGTCTGCTAGGAAGTTAATGAACATTAATCCTAATTGTGGATTTGCAGTATTCAGCATTCATCTCTCTGTTAAAAATCAAGGCAGCATTTTATGCATGATGATTTTCAGTGACTCAAGGCCAATCTTGAGGTCTCTCACACACCCTGTCCCCACCCCCCCGAGTTCCTTTGCAGTTAGAGGGATTCCCAATTAATCTTTACTTCTATTGTGATGATTGGTCTCATGCCAATACCAATAACTCATCACTTCATGTTTCCACATATTGTGCCTGGCCTCCTTTGTGACTTCATCCTGCAAGAACAGGTGGATGTGATCATTCATTCCATGATCCACAGTTCTATCCTTTGCTTCAGTTACCAAGATAGATGAGTATTATGAGACCTTGCTTTGGAGCCGAGTTATGCCCTAGGGATTTTAGTCAGACCAAATCCATCAAAGATATTAAAAAGAATACATGAGATCAAGAAGTAAATTAGCTCCTGAGCTAGTGAATGCTCTCCTACCAAGATTAGTATCCCCCATGGTTTCACTGCCACTGGGTTTTTACTCTGTATGATGTAGTATTGGGGCAACTTTGCACATGGTGTGGGGAAAACTACAGTGTACTGACAGAGTTAGGGTCTGTTTGGTCTCTGCTGTTTTCATCCAGTTCTAAGCAACCAGAGAGCTTTGCTGAATCCTTGAGGAAGTCACTCTGGATTTTCTTTTCAGGTTATCTTAAAGGGCAGCAAGGAGCGCAGCACTGGAGCTACTGGAGTTAATGCAGATTCCTCCCGCTCCCATGCTATCATCCAAATTCAGATCAAAGATTCAGCCAAGAGGACATTTGGCAGGTAAGCTAGAAATATGCAGGGAGCTGCATTGTCTTCCTTTCTCTAAAGTGACTTTGAAATATGTGTTATCAACAACAGCACCCTGTGCTGTGGAGTTCTTCATTTCAGGGATAGAGTCGAGTTGTAAGCTCTGAAATAAATCATTGTACTAAAGTGTCATCAGTTGATTAACCATGAAGTAATGACCTATTGTTGGTCAACCCTAAGTTATTAAAAGGGACATTGATTGCTTCTAACTTGAAACACAGTATCAGCAAAGGAATAGCTGGAATACATCTCAGAGAGCTTACAGACCCCCCAAAAAAGGGAGATGGAAAGTTAATCCATCCTGCTTGAAAAAAGCCATCAGACAATTGGGTCTATTCATTGGCTCTGTGGTACTGTCTTAGCGAACTCCCTGCCACACTGATGGATGGGTCTGTCTCCCCTCTGAGAAATTAGTCTTTTTTTTTAAACTGGAAAGCAGCCCACAGAAGTGTTTCAGTTTTAATTATCTAAGTAGTCACCTAACTGATTTGCATTGTGGTCATTTAGTCTCATGGAAAGAGTATTTTATTAATTTCAAGCATATTTTCTCACAAGTGATTAAAATGAACAGGCACGTGTGAGTGATTGGTGCCCACAGCAGCTGACAGGACACAATTTTGCAGTATTTCTGGAAAGCTGACGGTAATTTCATTTCTTGAGGATGGCCAAAATACTGACTGAAGTAAAAATAAACCAGAGACCCAAAGAAGTCATCCCTGCTGTGTCTTTTTTCTAGGATTTCTTTTATTGACTTGGCTGGCAGTGAAAGAGCAGCAGATGCCAGAGACTCAGATAGACAGACAAAGATGGAAGGCGCAGAAATAAACCAGAGTCTTCTGGCTGTAAGTTACTCAAAAGCCCTCATCTAGAAATCTTTCTTGAAGGATGTTGGCCTTCTTTACGGGAGTCAGAGAGGGTGAGGGCGGAGAGGACGCAGCAGAGCAGCAGGCATGCACTTACCTGGCTATTGAAATTACAGGGCTTAAACAGAGGCACTCAGCAAATCTTATCTCTCTGCATTCTCTTCCCCTGCCAATTAGGCACAAAGTATTTCTGCAGTTGGTTAATGGTTAACTTGGGTGAACTTTCCTCTTCTCTCCATGCTTTAAGACCTCATTAATTAACATATAAAAGTAAAACAAACATGAGCAGAACTCAAAACCATAAAATAACCAGACTCACTGGTCAGATAGAGACTGATGGAGCCCCATGATCATGGCCATTCATGACCCTGCAAACCCTGAACTGAAATCACCCCCATGACTTTCAGTCAAATCAAAGACAAGCCCAAGGTGATCAGTAACACTGGGCAAGAACACACTTCTTTTAGCAATCAGCCATACAAGATCAGAGGACAGCTTTTGCTCAGAGATAAAACTCAGGTGACAGAAAGGCAAAGGGTGAGTGGAAACAAGAAACACAAGGGAGAATTGGGAAGTTGATGCTGCAAGGTAGGAACTGTAGTGGGAATTGTAATAAGTGTTATGAAACAATGTGTATGAACTGTCAAAAGATAATTTGCTTTGTAAACTTTCACTCAAATCACAATAAAAGGGTTTTTTTAAAAGTATAATAGATAGGGCAAAGAAGTTGCACTGCAATCCTGAAGACACGTGGTTCAAATCCACCAAATGCACTGCTGGAGAAGGAGAGGCAATCTCCTGTGCCAGTCGGATCCGATTCGATGATACACAATAAGAAAAGAAAACTAAATAAATAAAAAATAATAAAGTATAATAAATAGTTTAGTGATTCACCATAGACCTGTCGCCAGCTTCAGCAATCAACTTTACTGATTTCTTTGTAGTTTTCTTTTTACTTTCAGGATGTATCTCACTACTAGTGTACAATCATAATACTTTGTTGCAAAGGCAGTTGAAAGAATTCTTTGTGTATTTAAAGCCTACTAATTCCATATTCAGTTAGGTTCATTTGTTTGATTTGGTTTTGCTTTTTAAAACTGCTTTATATTTTTTTTCATTTTATAATATTCAAAACATTTACATGATTTCAAAGTAAAAATTCTGGAACAAAAACACATTCATTGAAATCTAGTTTCCATTCTTGTCTTCTGGACCCTTTACCTCCATCTCCTTGTTATTGTTCTTGCTGTTGGGCTTATTCTGGCTTGCAGGAACCCTGTGCAGAGTAGCCCTGCTTCATAGAATTTAGGGTGGTTTCTTTTCAGAAGTAGATCTTCAGCCTGACTTCTGAGGTCCCTCCACCTGGGTTCACACTAACCTTTGACTAATATCCTAATGCTTTACCATTTTTTTTAACCACCCAGAGAAATCTTCTTCCATTTAGATAACCATTTTTCCAAATTTTCTGAATTAATTTACTTACATCCTTGCACCCCTTTTTTTGGTAAGAAAGATAGCATACTGTAATCATCATCTTGTACCTTCCTTTTTCTTCTTAATAATCCTAAAGGTCATTTCATGGTCACACGTAGAGATCTTCCTCATTTCTTTTTACAAAGGCTGGTGCTGCTTGGGCCCCTCCCCTTTATTTATAATCTCCTTCTTCAGAGGCAGTGGCAGGAATCAGCATCTTTTTTTGTTGTCTTTTTTGAGTAATTTTGTTAAATAATTTTAGATTTCTAAAAAAATTGCAAAAACATTGCATAGCATTTCTGTTTTTCCCTTTATCTAGTTTTCCCCAATATTAATATTTAGCATAATATTGATTATATAAATTAGGAAATAAACTTTGGTATATTTTTTTACTAGGAGTCCCACAGATGTCTGCTTTCAGATCCAGGGTTCAATCCAGACCTTATAATACATTTAATTGTTATGTATGTCTCTAGTTTCTTCCATTTTTGTCATTCATGACTTTAATGCCTTTGGAGAATACCAATCTGTTATTTTTAGAATGTCTCTGATTTTGGGCTTGTCTGATGTTTTCTCATGCTTCTTGTTATGTGCTGTTGAGTTGCTGCCACTCATAGCGACCCTAAGTACCATAGCTCTGAACCCTGCCCTATCTTGAGCCAGTTCCACTGACTCCGACACCCCTAAACCTAGTACCCCAGTTACTGTGTCAATCCATGTCCAGGGCCTTCTTCCTGTGCTGTCCCTCCATCCTTCCACACATGATGTCCTTCTCCAAGGACTGGTGCCCCCTACCCATGTGCCCAAAGTATGTGAGATAGAGCTTCAAAATTCTTTCCTCCAAGGAACAACTTGGTTTCACCCTTTCCATGAGAGATCTGTTGTTTCTCTTGGTGATCTATGATATGTATATTCAGTAGTCTTCTCCAGCACCACAGCTCAGAGACATCGATTCTTCTTCTGTCATCCTTAGTTATTGTCCAGCTCTCTGATGCATACATAGCGTGTAATTGTAAAGACCATGGCATTGAAGTTAGTAATTTCTAGCAAGAGTACCACAGAGGTGATTTACTCTTATCAGGTGGTGCATGATGCCAGTCTGTCTTTTTGCTGATGATGGTAGTTTTGATCACTGCATTAGGGTGTTGTCTGCTCAGCTTCTCCATTATAAAATAATAATTTCTGCTTTGTAATTTATAAATGTTTTATGGGAAGGTATTTTGAGATCATGCAAATACATTCTGTCACACCTTTTGCTCTCTAATTTTAACATTTGTTGGTAATTCTTATTTGTGGTAGTTGTTACTATGATGTTTGCCTGTTGGAGTTTTCTATTCCTCTCATTCTTTCATAGTCATTAATTAGATTCTGTTGTAAGCAAAAGCTGCCCTTCTTTCCATATTATGTTATTATTTAGTCTATCAGCATGTTTATATTTCTTTTATTTCCTGGATTATATATAATGCACTACTATTAATATTTTTTTGCTTAGTTTGCCCCAGATTTGGCCCTTGGAAGTTCCATCTCTTGAGATCTTTTTTCTTTTGACATGCCTTTATCGTTTTAAGAGCACTTCCTTAATTTTGGTACTACAGAATATCCCAAGGTTATCTTGTACTTTGCCTAATCCCAGCCCTGAGATCAACCCAGAACCAACATTTTTTGCATGTAATAAATATGAATTAGTTTTCACAACAAGTTGGGAAAATTCCCTTCCCCCCTTTACAGATTAGGATTCTAAGGTTCCTAAGGGTTAACTAAATGAACTAAACCTCCATAGCCTTGAGGGATAAACCTGTGATTCTGATATTATAAACTGTGGCCCAGGAATCAACTATGAAACCTGGGAAGAATTATCTGTGAAACTGTACTTACCCTTGGGAACTTGACTTTATCTCGGGTTCTGACTTGATGGTACACAACAACAAACATGGAGGAAGTACAACCAGGGTGTTCTTTAGAGTCAGGGATGGTAAAATGTCATGTCACCTACTTTGGGCATGTTGTCAGAAGAGTCTAGCCTTGGAAAAGACATCATGCTTGGAAAAGTAGAGGGTCAGTGAAAAGAGAGGAACTGTCCTCAATAAAATGAGTTTATACAGCACTGCAATAATGGGTGTGGGTATGGTAATGATTGTGAGGATAGTGCAGCATGAGACAAAGTTTTGCTCCTTATTCTGCTTCACCTAACAAAACAATAAGGAATTGAGCTACTAATACAAAGGTATGTGGTTCAAATCCACCAGCTCCTTTCATTTGAATCAAAATCTGTGCTTGTCTGAAAAGAGAGAATAGTCCTGGCTTTCTCACATCTCTCCCAGCTCTGACTTTTCTTCTGTTACTTGACTTACTTTATTTTCTGCAACCACACTTGAACCTAAATGTGTGTGAAGAAAAGGAGAATGGGTATAGATTGCTTCTCTCCTTAAGTCCACCTGTAGATGAGAAGAGGAGAGAAAGAGAACCAACAGGCCAATATTACCTCCATCTTCCCATAGAAGCGTGGACTCTAGCACCTGAGGGTAGGCCCCTTGGCTCATCTCCATCTCACCATCAACTCAGTGCTAATCCTAAGATCGTAGCCTCTTAAACTGGAAGCCCTTAGCTTTGCAGAAACCCAGTGGAGGATTGCCATGAGTCGGAATTGACAGCAGTGGGTTTGGTTTGGGTTTAAGCTAGCCAGCACAGGCTTATGCTTCTCAGCTTGATTTTTCTTGCAAAACAGAGATTCCCAGAATATTTTTATTTCCTTTTGGAGAATTGCTTGAGTATGGCTTATTTAAAGGAGTAAGCTCATATGGACATAGCACCTGATCTTTCTTTCTTTCTTTGCCTTGCACTATCTGATGTCCTTGCTGGTATTCTCTCACTTTGCAGCTGAAGGAATGTATCCGAGCACTGGATCAGGAACACACTCATACTCCCTTCAGGCAAAGCAAGTTGACTCAGGTAAGTTCAACGTGAGCTGTGACTACGCTATACTTCACTCCTTTATTCTTTCTTCTGTTTCTTTTTTTATTCAGTAGATTATCTACTGTGAGTAAGGCATGATACTAGGCATAATGAGAGAAAGAAAGGAAGGAGTCCCTCTTATCTAGTAGAAAAGAGAGTATATTTGGCAGTATGTCTTGAGGTCTGATGTTGCTGCAGCCTTCTTGGCAAAATAACATACAGCAGCTCTCTTGGTTATAACCTAGCAGCTTTCTGTTTATCTCCAGTGTACATAAATCTTGTAGATTTAATGGAGTCTCTGAGCCTTTAAGAGGTATGATAGCTGTACTTGGTACTGTCTTGCCTGTAAAACAGACCAGTGTTCCAAATAACAACAACAAGAAAAGACTGCAGTTAAAAAGAACAAGATTCATAGAAAGAAAAGGAAAAAAAAGAAGATGATACATTTATCTACAGCTACTGATAGGAAAGAAGGCCAAAATCTATTATTATGTGACAAATAAGGGAGAGGAAAAACCCCACAACACAATATGCTTTGTAAACTTTCACTAAAATCGTAATTTTTTTTAAGCAAGCTGTACAACAGTGTGAAAGGAGTAGATGCAACATGGAAATGGCGGAGTCTGACTTCTACTCACTTCATAAAGGGGCACTGTCCCCATCAATAATAAACATAGTACCATACAAATAGCTACCTGGTCAGACATGCCACTCACATGCTCCTGCACCAATTTCTGCAAATCATTGGGCCCAGTGTTTGTTGCAGATTGACTCACAGACTTTACTTACAGTTGTGGGGATTATTAGGGAAATAGGTTGGGAAGTGAAGGTGGCAAAGAATATCACAGAGTACAAGTCTGTGTTTAGTCCAGGAGTCCCAGGGCCGATTAATGAGACACAGTTCCTCAATTAGTTTACATAGCTTCTCAGTCAACAAGTAGAAGTCTAGGTTCTGTTCAGCAGCACAGATAAACCTCTGGTTTCCTCAATTAGTCCTGCAAACTTTATCTCAAAGCAGTTACAAGTTGGCTTTTCATTCAGTAATCCAACATGTAAACCTTTAACTGTGGCTCCATCTCCAAGGTTCTGTCAGTCTACACCTTTCCATAGTCTCTTCACAAACTCTGCACAATCTCTTCACAGTCCGCCCCCCCTGCCCCCAGTAGTGTGGAAAGTGCTTTCATATATTGATCCCACAGGTGTTGATGATTTGCAAGACCATGTGTCTGCAGTTAAGGTAGCTGGAGACCATGCCCCCCACAAAAGGGCCTAACACAGTGGCTAGAAAAGGCAATTTTCATGGATTCTAATACTGTGCACAGTGTAGAAATATGATTTTAAAACATTTTTTTCTTATATATATATATATATATATCTATATATATATATCTATATATATATATCTACAAGTTAAAAAAGTTCAGGAAGTTAGAGAAGAAACCATTAACATTGACTGTAACAGAAAGAGTTGTAGTCAAGAACAAGTGAAATTTAACTTTCACATGCCTTTAATTGATGTTTTGTATTATTACTAAAGAAAAGTACTTTTACCTGACCACAAAAGAAAGGTATTATGTGTAGTTTATAAACCAGAATAATTAAAGTTTATGTCCGAATAATTTTTGGTGTAATTATTTCCCTCACTGAATGTTCTTTTTTAATTTTGAAAACATTAGGTAGCCAAAGAAGGCATGTGAGGGCCTCCCTGGACAGGAACAACTACAAAGACGGGGTACAGATATCCCAGGCTGGGTTCTGCACCATGTCCTTGCACAGTAATGGACAGACTAGGTAGGGAGACACATAGAAGAGAATCTTCATAGTCTGCAAAAATGAAGCCCGCTCAGCATCTAGGAATAGTCTCCACTTCGTATTAGCGACTCCACACCAGACTAGTAACTCTATAGGATGTGGCACAGACCTTATAACAACATAGCTCCTTACTAGTCAGAATTGGGGGTTCTGGGACTTAGATTGTGTCTTTCCAAACATGATTTTAGCCAGAAACCATCTCAGAAGTGATTGATCCTGATTCTGACATTGGTTCTATTATTTATTTATTTTAAAAGTTTCAAACTTAAAAAATCTTTTTAGAAACTTAAAAAAATTTGTGCATACAAATATAAAAGATGAAGGTAAAATGTACTTTAAGATCCTGCTTTCAAGTGCTAACCACAGCTGTATTTTGTTAAGCATTCTGAGCATCACTGCATCCATATATCTAAATGGAGAGCTGTGTGCTGAATTTTACAGAATGATGCCTGTTTATCACTCAGAGATAAGTTTCAAATATCTTTCCATGTACTTTTTAATGAGGGATACATAATCATTTCAATGGTTATAGTGTACTCAATTATAGCTATTTAGCTAATTTCCTATTTATAGACTCAGATTATTTGTAAATTTTTTATTATAAAGTGTTGTGATGAATATCATTAGAAATAATTCTCCCTCCTGCTCCCCAAATGAACGATTATTTACTTTATAATTGAATTTTGGAAGGTTGATTTCCAAACCAGTGATAAGCACATTTTTATATTTTGGTTCATCCTGCCACATGTCCTCAGAAAACTATACCAGTTCACAGCCTATGGTACATGGGCAGTGTGGGAGAATGCCCATTTCCATGTACCCTCACCAAGACAAAGTATCATTGGTCTTTTTTCACTTTATAGGTGAAAAACATTAGTTTTTAATGGTTTGTTTGAATTTACTTGAAAAGTAGCAAAGTGAGCACATTTTTCAATGGATTGTGTATTTTTTCCCATTTGTGTCTCTTTTTTTCTGAATTGTCTTGCGGATAGACTGGGACTATGGCCAAGTGTCCTGCATACATTAAGTAGTCAGTAAGTTGATTCTTCATTCTCTAACCTGCCTTCTGTTTCCTTCAGGTCCTGAAGGACTCTTTCATTGGTAATGCCAAAACCTGCATGATTGCCAACATCTCACCAAGCCACATGGCCACTGAGCACACTCTGAACACTTTGCGCTATGCTGACCGGTGAGCTGGCTTCCGAGTGCAGGTCATGTGTGTGTGCGCGCATGCATGCGTCTCACATGCATAAGATTTGACCTAAAGTTGCACACGCTTGTTTTGGACCCTAATAAGCTTGTAGTTATTTGATGTATGTGACCAGTACTGAGATTTGCAAATGTGAAATATAGAAGATGGGACATTATTTTGTTTAAGATATTCTGCCTTATTGTAGCTATTGTTAGATGCCATTAAGCCAACTCCAACTCACGATGACCCTGTGAACCACGAATTGAAACTGGGCCCGATCCTGTCTACCATATTAGGGACTTTCATCTAGCTGTGAAGGATAAAATATTTCAATGAAGTTTTCTTCCTACTGGCTTTATTAGCCCTAATTGTAAGGAATAGAATATAATCAAGGCACGTTTCCCGGCCAATGCACCAAAAAAAAAAAAAGAATATAATCAAGGCAGAATCACTTTGAGCCATGTACGTCTGGAAACAGCCAACTCATATATGTTAACAGAAGGAACTTTGCAAAGGTTTATGGGGAGTTGGTGGCAAAGCTGGTACTGCTGTAGTGTCAGGGCTCTTTGTGAGGTGACTCTGGTATTTGACAGGGTCCCATTCATCCCTTACTTTGTGGTTACAGGTGTTTATTATGGAAGATGCACTCCATTCCTTTGATTGCTTTTGCTTCCTGACATGTCTTGAATCTTCTTCCATCCCCTAGTTGTCTACAGTATGAACAGCTATGGACAGGAAACCTGTTTTTTATTACTGTTGAGGCTTTTGTAGCTTTTTATGAAACTTATTGAGGCAAGAGATGAGCTATCATTTACATTACATGAAAACCTCATTTTTCTTCTCTGTTGCATCCATTGTGCCCAGACTGTACTTGATAGTACTGAGTAGATGCTCAGTAACTATTTATGGATGAAGGAAAGAGAGCCTTCTGTGTCCTAGGCCTTGATGGAGACCCTCTGTGTGTGTGTTACTTAGTAGGAAATGTACAAAAGTGTACAAAATGCTTCCAAGCATAGGCTCTTGCATTACTGTTCTGACTCTACCATTGGCTAGCTGAGTTTTCAACTTCTGTTGAGTTCAGTTTCCTCATCTGTTTGTTTGTTTTTGTTGTTGTTGTTGTTGTTTTTAAAGGCAAAGCAAAACACTCCAAAGTTGTTGCCATCAAATCGATTCCAACTCATACAGTCCTGCAGGACAGAGTGGGACTGCCCACCGGGTTTTCACAAGTAATCTTTATTCAGACAGACTGCCATATATTTTTTTTTCTGCTCAAATGAGGGGAAAAAACAAAACAAAGCCTTATCACAAGACAGCAAAACAAAGAAAACCTATTGACACTGGTTGATTCCAGTTCATAGTGACCATCCACTGGGTTTCCAGGGCTGTATCTTTATAGAAAAGAGATGCCCATCCATCATCCTCCCATAGAGCAGCTGATGGATTCAAACCACTGGCCTTTTGATTAACAGGACAACACATAACATACTATGTCACCATTGTTTGCAAAGCAGCTAGAGGGTTCAAAACTTTACCTAAAAACTGGGAATGCTTTAGCCCTGTGTATATATTACCCAGCTTCAGCAGTTATGAACTTTTAACAAGTCTTTTTTCCTACTGCCCCTACTTACTCCTCAAGTCCTAGACATCATATGTGTCTCTTAAAGTTTTAACTTTTTGTAATTTTTTACAAGTGTGTAAGATATTACTTCTCTTTGCTTAAGATGGCCCTTTTCATGAGGGGATATATTGAATCTAACTGAGAAGTTAATTGGAAATAATTCTGTTTTTTTAAAAAAAAAGTTCAATGGAATTAATCTCATATTCCTAATAATCTGATAAACTATTGAAAAAACCATGAAAATCGTTTTATTGGTTAAATTATTGTTTATTGGTATAAATTTATTCTTACTTATTGGTTAAATTAGGTTTAATTAAGTAGTTGCTAAATTAGGCATATTGCTGGAGACCAGACCAACTTGCAAACCAGTGCAGAACATACTTCATCTCCTGAGATGTGACGTAAGACATTGGAGGAGGGGAAGAGTTAATAATATCATGTGACACTGATGGTAAGGGAGAAGGGAAAGGCAGAGGCATTGATGGTGATAATTCCAGTGACATTTGGCACTGGGTCAGTTCTGAAGCGCAGCGACCCTCCATCAAGTTTCCAGGGCTGTAAATTTTTAGGGGAGGAGATTGTCCATCTTCATCCATCTGCCTCCTAGCATCTTTCCAAGAATCTGATGCCTTCTTTTGGAACTATAACCAAAAGGAACCAAAGCATTAGAATTCAAATTTGGCCTACTGCTGCCTTATGAGGAACATGAAGTAGAGCTTTCCTGGTCTTAACTATGACGTGCCAGCCACCAGCTTTCCGATTGATGATTTATAAAATTACGGAAAATCAGGAGAAAGAGAGCAATTAGTCCCTCCCTCATTAAATCCAAATAGCCATGACTTTTCAAAAGTATATGCTCCACAATCCTTTGCGGTGGCCCAAGACAGCAGTGCTCAGAGCCGCCATGGACAACACAGCAGTAGCTGCAGCGATGAGGAGGAGCTGGCGTGGTGCCGCAAGGCTGCAGTGCTGGCCTTGGGCTTGGAGCAGCGCCCTAAGGGTCCAGAGCAGCCTAGAGCTGATGCTGCAAATGAACAGTTGCCCACCACCCACTCAAGCCTCAGGCATAAAGTGGATGAACATGAACAAGATGGGAATGAGCTTCAGACCACCCCTGAATTCCTAGCCTATGTAGCCAAGAAGCTTGGAGCCCTCTTGGACAGCTCCATTACCATCTCAGCGGTGAAGAAGGAGCCAGCCAAGGCCAGCGTGCAGAAAGCAGCCTCTGAAGATGATGGCTTCCGGCTCTTCTTCACGTCCATCCCTGGTGGCCCTGAGAAGGAAGCTGCTCCCCAGCCCCGCCGGAAACGACCGCCCTCCAGCTCCAGCGATGACAGTGACGAGGAGTGGCAGAGGTGCCGGGAGGCAGCTGTGTCCGCCTCTGACATCCTCCAGGCCTCAGCCATCCTTGGCCCCGTCACAGAGGAGAAGGAGACAAAGGACATGAGAAATAAGGACGAGACCAGTGCCACCAGCGCAGCCACGGACCCTGGGCAAGAAAAGCAGGCAGCCAAGCTCAATGGCAAATGGGCACCACCAGGGACCAAAAAGAAGAAGAAACAGAAGAAAAAGGCAAAAACGAGTGAGGCTCCCACATTCCCACCAGCAAAGGGCACAGCAGCCATGCTTACGAAGTGACCCCAGTCTGTGGGCATCTGAGGACACGTAGCCGAGACATTTCCAAGCCCCTCTCACTCCAGGTTCACGGACATGACTGGCGGGCCCAGGCTCTGCCCACGAGACCCTGCTGGTGACTGGGCTTCACCCAGAATGGGAAGGGTGTGCCTGGGTTCCGAAGCCTAAGCCAGGTCTGGCCGCTGTGCGTCTGCTGAGGGCAGAGGCGGATTGTGGGACCAGAACGGGATGCAGGATCCTCCAGTTACTCAGGACTGACATTCAAGGGGCCAAGCACCTGTGGCCCTGGGCCCATCTCAATGGATGCTAAATGGGTTTTTTCCTTACCCTTTGCCACCACAGACGCTGTGTGAGCCACACACACTTGATAGAACACAGTCTAAACAAGGAGAGGCATCATTCTCCCCCACCACCACCACCGATTTTCTAGACTTTTCTTCCTCCACATTTATGAATATACCATCTACCGTCATGTCTCTGAGCCAACCGGGTTTTCAATAAATGGTTATGGTACCAAAAAAAAAAAGTATATGCTACTTTTGGAGTTGGTAGCAGGTTTTTGCATTCTGTAGCAGATCTACAATAATATGAAAACAGGTGACATTCAACCAATTGAAGGGTTTAATTTATTTTATACCAAAATAGCAGATTTTCAGAACCATAAAAAAAAGTAGGCATATTGCAATTAATTTTAGGTAATTTTAAATAAAAAGCTAGAAGGCTCTTGGTGGTTTAGTGCTAAGGAGTTGCTCTGCCAACCCAAAGATACTTGGTTTGAATCTACCAGCTACTTTGGGGGGGGGGAAATCTCATCTTGTGCATTTTACTGCCTCTGAAAACCCACTGGAGGGTCAGCTATTGGTTAGGTCAAACTCAACGGTACTTACCAGCAACATATGCACACACAAATTCTCCCCACTATGATTTAAAATTCTCATTTCTCTTTGCACTTAACAAAAGTTACTGAATAAGCCAAAAGTAACATCTCTACTATCAGGAGAAAGGTCCATGCAGTTTATTGACAGTAGTGATTTTGACAAACAAATAAAATACCCTTTAGGATCTATGGCCAAATTGCTTATAAGATTCCCCTCTGGCACTCAGATTTCTAGAGTTACTTGTTCCCAGAAGGAGGACAATCTGGTGTTTTACTCCAAATGAAACAAGAAAAGCTGAGTTTTTATAAGAGGAAATAGTTTGGAACCATTTAGATTTTCTGTGACACTGTAGCCCATTCCTTGTCAACATGTCCTATTGTAACACCTGAGAAAAAACGTGCAGATGTTGCCTGCATTGTAGACCTAAACCACGACCACAGAGCTGATGCCAGTTCATGGCAACTAGACAGATCAGCAGCACTGCCTGCACAGAGTTTCCAAAACTGTAAATTGTTACAGAAGCCGGCTCTCTCCTATTTCTCCCGCGACGTGGCTGGCAGATCTGCATGCCCGATGTGTTGGTTAGCAGCACAATTTCATCCGCTGCTCCATCAGTTTCATTTAGCCTTACTAGGTTAATTTTCAGAAATGGTCATGGAGTAATGTGGCTCCCCCTGTGGTTAGGAATGAAACCCAAAATAAAGATGAGACATTTTCTAGGGTTCACGTCACTAAGCAGCACTGCTCCTGCCCCACTGAAGTTTTAATGAAGAAATTCAGACCACTGGAGAGTCACATTTTTGTTTGATTTTTGTCTAAATCCTATAGTGTTTTGACTTTAAGTATCTCAGAGCAAAAGACTCTGCTCTTGACAAATGAATCCTAGCAAAGATTTAATTCTGGGTTGGGTTTGTTGTTTGTTTTTGTTTTTTTTCCTTGAGCCCTAAAATTCCTTTGTGTAACAGAGCAGTAGTACTTAATCCAGGGGTGATATGCCCCTCAGGGACATATGGAGATATCTGGAGACAGTTTTGTTTTGTATTTTTTAATTGGTTTGCATACAATAATTCATATATATTGTTTCATTCATGTACCTTTTATTTTATACAGTCTTTCATTTACATTGTTTCATATAATCATTCAGATACATTGTATTTTATATAATTAAGTACTATTGATCTATGTCTATTATTACCCCATCTTTTCAAGTTCACACTGATTCTTTCCTATTCCTTCACCTCCCTCTCTCGACCCACTAAACTCTGCTGTCCTAGTGATTTCCACCCTTGCCCTGTTGCTGCTCCCTCTCCCCTTATTCCTTCCCCTTTTGGACAATTATACACATTTTAATAGTTATCCTTCTATTTTTGCAATAATGATCTTATACAGTACTTGTCCTAATGAGATTAGTTAGTTCACTCAGCCTAATGCCCTCTAGGCTCTCCCATGTTACATAGTATTTTATAAAATCATTGTTCTTTGGTGAGCATAGTATTCCTTTGTGTGACTGTACGACATTTTCTCAATCCCTTCATTAGCTGATGGGCATTTGGGCTGTTGGAGACAGTTTTTATCATCTGGTGACTGTGGGGAAAGTACTCCAGGAATCGAATGGGTAGAGGCCCCACATAGTATTAACATCCATCTGCCCATGCACAGGCCAGGTCCTGCAACAAATAGTTATTTGGTCTATTATGTCAGTAGTACTTAGGTTGAGAAGCCCTGGAATAGATAAACAGTTTTTTCCTTAATGAAATTAGCAACACTGATTATTTCTGAAGTGTTTTTATTTTCTTAAATACCTACCAGATTTAAGGGTATTTCTTTTCCTATAAAACTCTAAAATGGATGATTCACACACACAAAAAAAAGGCGGCATTGAGGCAAGCTCTGGTAGCCTAGTGGCAAGAAGCTGCACTGCAGTTCCAGAGGTGAGCGGTTCAAATCCACCAGATGCTCTGCTGGAGAAGGAGGGGGCAATCTCCTCCTGTACCAGTCATATCCCATCTGATCGTGCGCGCGCGCACACACACACTCTCTCTCCCTCTCTCTCTCTCTCTCTCTCTCAAAAAAATCTATATATAAATATAAGAAAGGACATTGAGCATGGGCAACGACTGTTCATTGCCATGGAGTCAGACCTGCTCATAGCCAACCCTCCATTGGATTCCAAGGCCATAACTCACATGGGGGATTACCCATCTTCCTCCCGTGGAGCCTCTGACTGGTGCATTCAAACCACCAGAGGGCTGTAGCCTTTGGGTTAGGCCACCAGGTTCCCTGAGGATGGACACAGGGCTTTGGAGTTGCCTCGTTTTCAAAAGCATGGCCGAATATGTGGTTCTGAGACTGGCCTCCCTGGCTTGTACCTATATAGGGCTGTAGTGATTTCAAAAAGACTTTGGATCCTGGCATGTTAGTTGCTCAGAAAAGGTACTGTTCTTTTATTCATTCAGGTAAAGAAGGGTGTCTCGTCCTTAAATGGAGTCTACACTTCTCTCAGATAAAATACTAACCTTGAATGCTTTTGTTTCTGTTTTTCTTGAATGCTGTAGTACATAATGTGAAGAAGATGCCTTTAACATTAAATCATTCTTCACAGGGTGAAAGAACTAAAGAAAGGCTTAAAGTGCTGTGCTGCAGCTGCCAGTCGAAATAGGACTTCTGGAAACAACTCTCCAAAGAGAATTCAAAACTCACCTGTGGCCGTGCAGGAGGACAAGTGTTCTCCCAAAAAAGTCAAGCTCGGGCTTCAGCAATCACTCTCAGGGGCACCTGGTTCCATGAGAGGGAAGGCCCAGCCTCTAGCTGGTCACTCACCCAACATCCCGATTGCTTCTGTACCTAAGGCCCCTGGCAAAAGAGGCGGCTCCAGAGGGTGTCCTCCGCAAAGGTGGGTTGTTCAGACCAGCCCTGCCAGAGGAACCACGAAGTCTGGACAGTTGGCCAACAAAAAGGAAGAAGAGTCAGCACGATTTTCCTCTGTGAAGAATCAAATTGGCAACAAAGCTGCCCTGGAGTGGGGCAGCAGGACCCCTGGGCCGGGAGGAGACCCAGTCCTTGGAAAAAGGCCTGCCCAGTGCAAGAAAGTCCAGACTGTACAGCCAGTGCAGAAGCAGCTTGTGCCCCACGCTGAGCGCTCCTCTGGTGACACCCACCACTTGGCAGAACACAATCAGGACAGCAAGGAGGCCACACTTACCAGTCCTGGCCCCGAGGCGTGGACAAACATCCCTCCACGTCAGAAAGAGAGAGAGGAGCATCTGCGCTTTTACCACCAGCAGTTTCAGCAGCCACCTCTCCTCCAGCAGAAACTGAAGTACCAGCCACTGGAAAGGTTTTTATGCCAGTACCAAGCCAAGGATGGTCAGCTGCCTAGTGAGACCTCCCCACCATTACGTGCTCACGCAGAGAGCTGTGACGGAGCCCCCACTGAAGACCTGGATGACAGCGATTTCAGTGAGGATTCATTTTCACATGTTTCCAGTCAGAGGACCACTAAGCAAAGAAACACCCTGGAGAGTAGTGAAGACTCCTTCTTCCTTCATCAGCGGGAACAGACTCCTGAGGAGAGGGCAGCTGAAAGGCAGCAGAGTCTGTCTTTTAGCCTCAGGACAGATGGTGATGAGAAGGATCTAACTGAAAGTTGGAGGTGCTCATGGGATCCCCGAGGCCCCCGAACAGCAGTCCTCAGTCATGGCTGTCCAAGTCAGGTGGCTTTGGAGTGGAGCAGAGAGGAGGGCTCGAGCTCCACAGTGATCTCTCCCCGAGGCAACCTGGCAGAGAAGCCTTACAGTTCGCAGGTAGATCTTATATATAACCAAAAAAGGGGTGGAGGCTCAGCCTTTAATCTCAGTCAGGATTCATTTACCAGTATTCTTCCTGGACAGGTGGAGGGCTGCTCACCACCACCAGAGGAGAGGTTCATTGTCTCACTGTCCCACACTGCAGTTCCTGGGTCCCCAGACCAAAGAGATAGAGACACTGTCTCTGCACCATCGAGAGGAGTCAGCAAAGACAGCCCAACTCCAGTGATGAGAACAGTGAAAGAGAGTGCCCCTTTCCAAGGAGAAGACTCTGGAGAAGAACCAAGCTCATGCTCTGAATATGCTTCAGGTCTCATGGCTCCCCTCTCTGTGTCCCTCCTGGAGAACCCAGACAATGAAGGCTCATCTCTGTTGGGGAAGCTGGTCCCAGATGCGGCTGCCCGCAGTCTGGAGGCAGAGGGCTGCACAGTGCCATCTGGTGATCAAGAGGCAGTCTCACCAGCATCTATGGCAATGAGGCACCTGTGGCTGTCTTCTTCTCCTCCAGACAATAAGCCTGGTGGTGATCTTCCGGCTCTGTCTCCGTCACCCATCCGTCAATACCCCCCTGACAAGCTGCTCAACGAAGACCCTGACCTGGGAGAGGACTGCCGGGGCAAGGAGGTTACACTCTTCTCTTGGGACCATGTCAGTAGTGAGCTGTCTGTTGCTGACGCCGAAGAGGCAGAACTGGGCAGGTCCTGGAGTTTTCCAGGAAGGCCCTTCCCCACCACACACATTGGGAGATCTCGCTCTGGGCCAACATTTCCCCAGCAGACAGGAAGGAGTGATGTGGCCAATCAGCTCTGGAACCAGGAGAGAAAACTTCTGACAGGACAGTGTTGGCAGGAGCAGGCTTCGTCCACAGACCCCAGCAAGCTGGCCTCCTACAAGGACAAATACAGGCTGATTCCAAGGAACTTATCAAGACTGAGCTCTGCCCTGGTCCCTAGCTGTTCTGCTGAGATTGTAGAGACACTCCATGCGCCCACCCTGGGGCAAGCACAGTAAGTTGGCCTTTTGCCCCAAACTTGAGCTCCTTTGACATTCCTTCCCCTACTCTGGCCCCATGTTCTCTGTTCTGCAACAGCCGTGGTTGTTCAGGGTTGGAACTGTACTGTGACTGGCAACAGTGTCGTCCAGCTCACTAGGGAGTCTGGGTATATCCAACCTGAGCTTTAGGAATAACACGTATCAGAGCAAGGCCACTGGCTTAGGTAGACCCCGCAGCCTGGGCACACTGCTGACCTGTGAGCAGGAGAGGGAGAGCCCCGAACCAGGCCTGTGGAAAAACCAGGAGGCTGGTGATTTGAGCTGCTCCCTTCAAGATGCTGAGAATGGTGCAATCAAAGGAGATGGTGACGGCAGCTTTAGAGGACATGGGAGAAAAAGGCAGACAGGGCCCTACCCCCTCCAAGGCCCAGGAGCTGGGAGAGCAGTGGATGGGCCTGTAGGATGCTTCCTCCACAGGCTGCAGCCTTTAGCTAGGGCTTCCAATACCCAGGCCACGTGTCAGCCTGGTGCATCCTGAGAATGGCCGGGCAAAAAGGAAGTATGCACAAGTGAGGAGCCAGCTCCAGGTAGACAATCATGCTGTCTCATGGTCTGTACCTTTCCATAGACTAACAAGACAGCTGTGGCTTCTATAGTTCAACCTCCTTGCTTTGATCTCTGGATCTTCCACTTCCAGGAATAAAAATGATGGCCATCTATTAGCCTTTCAAAAATGCCAGTCACGTGGTCCCAGCCTCGAGAGCTTTTTCTGCAGGGAAGCCATGGATAAAATAGGCAGTTCCAATAGAGTAGTAGCAGTACCCTGCTCTGTCCAGAGCATGCACAGTGCAGCTCATGAGCCCTCTTTCCTGTCTTGAGTCCCAAGAAGGATCAAGTGAAAAGGGGAGGTGGTGAGCTGGCCCTGATCAAATGACCGCTTTGGGTAGGGATGAGACTTAGCTCCAGAAAAAGAGTAGGGGCAGGGGGGATGGGAGACCAAGAGGTTCCCTTCTGGTGTTCCAGGCAGGTGGTGATCCAAGCACATCAGGAACAGATGGATGAAATGGCTGAGCTGGGCTTTAAAGAGGAGACGCTGATGAGCCAGCTGACTTGTAATGTAAGTGACCTTGGTTGTACACTTATACTGTTGGATTCTCTTTGCCAGGATTTTGTTAGGGATATTTGCACCTATGTTCATGAGAGATATTCGTCTTTAGTTTTCTTTTTTAGTGATGTCTTTGCCTATTTTGGGTGTTAGGGTTATGCTTGCCACACAGAATTATTCCAAGAGTCTTTCTTCTTTAAAAATTAAATAGAAAGATAGTTCTTCTCTGAATGTTTGGTAGAATGTTGGGAAATTTGCTTGCAGCCAGTTTCTTATAGGTCATCCTGTTTGGCGCATGAGGGAAGGGCTGCCATCACACACTACCCGTGAGGGCTTGTGCCTTCTTCTCACATAGCTTGAAGGAGGTACAGCACAGGTGTATAGACGGGACATGGGGCTAGAGTCCCCAGTCCCAGGTGAAAATGATTTCAGCTCTATCCTTAGTCATCCTCCCATTCTATGAGGTCTTCCTGCTAAAATGCTTGTGTTCTGCTCTGTGCCTGGAGACTCTCCTGCACTTTTCAACTAGAGGGTCCTGGACCCTGAAAAGCAAATCTGGCAGAGAGCCACCCAGACTTGGGGAAGGCAGCCTTAGATGATGTAACACAAATAAGCACATGCTTCATTTGTTCCTGTTTCCTTAGGATTTTGAAGATTTTGTGACCCAGCTGGACGAAATCATGGCTCTGAAATCCAAGTGCATCCAGAGTTTGAGGAGCCAATTGCAGCTCTATCTGGCTTGTCATAGACCAGCTGCAGCCTCTGAAAGGACAGCAGTGTCCTAGAGCCATATCCTGACCGGGAGCAGGGTAGGAGACAGCACAGGAGGCTGTGCTGGGTGTCCTGGGGTTTCCACTACGTCCTCCCTGCACATACAAGTCTCCGCTCTAATTCTGCTCACACTAGTCACACCTCAGCCATACAGGACCTTGGCTGAGCCCCTGGTTAACTCCCTTCGGAATGGACCTCTGTCCCTTCTCTGCTCCAAGCTCAGAAACATCTGTAACAAAACAAAGGCTGAGAAGTTCATTTTCCTCCTTTTCTTTGGGGCTCAGAGGTAGCTTGTCTTTAATTCCTAATTAGGAATGCTTTAGGGTTTAATACCCAATAGATGTTTCCGAGTTGGGGATTCAGAGGAGGAGGTCACTGCTGACCTGGGGGGCAGAGGTTATAAGCTAGAGGAGGACAATGTACTGAACCCAGGAGCTCTTCTTCCAAGACTTGGGAAAAACCAAAATATTGCTGTTGAGGTGCTGGAGACCACGGAGTAAGCTCATCCGCCTGCCCCACCTAGCACTGGGGATGGAGTTGGGGCTTTGGGTGAGTTTTTTAAAGTTTTAGAAAGATGAATAAACCTTCATGTGTTCTACCAGAAGCAGATGTCAAACCTCTAACCCCAGGTTTACACTTGGAGTTCCCCTTCCTTCCTGAAGCCCAGAAATGAAACCCAAAGTGTGTGCCCATGTCTCTTATTATTCTTTCTACACCTATGACTTAGGCCTGACCGGCTTGTGTTCAAGTCCAAATAGGGATCATGCTCCTTGGCCATCTGTGACCCCTTTCTGTAAACACCTCACCTTAGGACCGTTCTGGCACAGTGTGGAGCCTACGTTTAAGACACTTTCTGGGAGTAGAGCTGAAGGGCTAGACGGCCCCAGCTAGCCATACCTCCTCTCAAGGGCCTATGTTCAGTATTTTTTTTTTTACTCTTTTTTGGGGGAAAGTTGGTCCACTTTTTAATATTGATCAAAAAAAAACCAAAGTCATTTCTGCCAAATATCATCCTCTACCACTCTTTTTTTTCTTTTTGCACCGATTTTTATCATTTTAAGTAAACAGTTGCAGTGGCTGGGAAAGTGCAGCTCCAAATCCATCCACCACAAGTGTCGTCATATGCGATGCCATCCAGCTCCCAAGGGGACATCAGTCTGGAGTCTGCTCTGTAATTACTGTAGTACTCCCAAATCAGCTAGATGCTTCTGCAGCTCACCATTGTGCTGCAGACTTTCTAGATCAGAGCATCCACCTATGCAATCATTACCTAAGAAAATGCGCCTGTAAGCTGCTGCAGATAATCTTGAATGGCACTGTGATATCCACAAATTCCAGGAGCCCTGGTTTGAAAGGCAAATGGTTGAGGATGTTTTGAGTCTTCTTGCAGTAGGGGCAGGTGGGCTTGATGAACACAACTACCTTCCCTGGATGGATTTTGCTGTTCACAAACTCTTGAGCCATGCTGATAAGCTGTGGTCCTCTTGGAGGACGTCTCAGTGACAGGTAGGGTAGAGCTGGAGTCTCTATGTTCAGTATCTTGGCATTGAATGTTCTTGTATGCAGCCTAACTTCTGAAACTGCATGTACACTTTCTCCATCTGAGTTTTGCCTCTTGTTAGCACAAAGTAGCTCAAAACAGCCTCCAAAAATGGCTTCCAGGGCTCATCACTTTTCGGAGCCATCCTAGGTCAGAGTGAGATATGTATATGCCACAAAGCTTTGGTTCCGATTCCGTGCTATATCAAACTTCAGTTTGTTTCACATAAGGATATTTTTTTTTAAGTTTTATAACCCTTTCCCATTGAGTCAATTCTGATGCACAGCAACCCTGTTAAGATAAGAACTGCCCCATAAGGTTTCCAAGGCTGTAAATCTTTACAGGAACAGAAAGACACACCTTTGTACATAAGTGGCCGAATTTGAACTGCTAGCCATTCCATTAGTAGCCCAACATTTAATTACCATTCATCAGCAGCATTCCAAGAATTCTTAAAACCACTGCTGTAGAGTGGGAGTTTGACTCACAACAACCCAGCATCAGCTTTCCAAGGCTGTAAACGTGACAGGAAACTTTCTATTCTTCCAGAGAGCAGCCAGTAGGTTTGACCAGCTGACCTTTCCATTAGCACTTTGGCACCTTGTTGGCAGGGTTAAATCTTTACAGAAGCAGACTGTAATCATTCCCCTGCAGTCGGAAGATTCGAACCACTGACCTTTCAGATAGGAGTATAATACTTCATATACTGTGCCACCAGAACTTAAGTTGTTTTAAAAACAAAACCAACTCATGCTGTTAGTGCCAGTTCGTGGCATCCCTTCATTGTTCTCCAAGGCCGTGTATTTTCATGCTTATCTTTCTCCTGAGCAGCAGCTGGTCTAAAACAACGTGAAAAGTTAGAACAGCTTGGTCCAGCCAGTTTGGTCAGCTCTAGCAATGCCTTCTCTGACCAGCAGAGGGTGCTGTGCTCCCATTTTGGTTTAAGCGTCCGAGGCTCTTTGTCACACACCCACTCAACAATTAGAGCTCACCCCACCCCCACCTAAGACCTCCAAGAGGGGCAGGATTAAATACAAGCTCAAGAAACTTTAGGTATGGTGAGGCACTTCAAATCCAGTCCTGCCTGTCACAGAGCACACAAACTAACTGATATTATACAGGAGAAAGGGCTCCTTCATTTCTGCCCCAGCACTACCATCCTTCAGGCAAGGATAAGCCATTGGTCCAAAAAGTGGGCTAGGACAGAGCCTCTCAGCCTTTGCAAACCTAAACAGGCAGGGCTGAGGAGAATGCCAGATTCTGGCTCCCAAAGGGAACCCTGGTGGTGTAGGAAGTTGTGCTGCAGGCCCAAAGTCCAAGCCTCTCCCAGGCAGAGGGAAGGGCAGTCTCTTCACTTGCAATTTAGGCTCAGACACTAACTGGAGGATCAGCTGTGAGCTGGTTCTACTTGACAGCAGTGAGTGAAAAACAGACCTAGAGAGAGAAGACGCCCAACCCCACCCCGCAAATAAGGCAGGAAACCCTTCAGCCCTCATTTTATTTAAAAAGGAAATTACCACAACAGGAGAGATACCTTTTAAATTTTTATTAGTAGTTCTCTGAAGAATCAAAATAGTTAGCAAATTAGATTCATCAAGACTGTATATCCTTTGTTTTTAGGTATTTAATGATGTACAACATAATACAAAACCAACCAAAAAGACTGA